CCTGGAAGTCGCTCACAAGGGCTCACTTGCCACTGGTGCATTTAGCGGGTTTTAGGACTAGTAAACTGATCAAAGTTTTTCAAAGGTGTTCTTTCTGGGGATGGAGATTGATTATCAAACATGATAATGGCTTGCCCCTCACATGACACACATATCAATGCAACCTTGTTTTAGCCAGGCCTCTGTCACTTTGTCTTTTCTAGCACCTTTAGCAAAAGGTAGCCTATCAAGTGTCCCGGAACAAGGTTGTCACCACAGCTGGGGAACCTTGTGCAATGGGCAACCAGTATACAGTACTTGGGATGCTACGTAGTACATAAATTGCCTAAAAGTTATTTTGCTACTTTATGCTACAACTTAATGCACTGCTGATGGAACTGGTCTCTGGTCATTACACAAAATTAATCTTTACACCTATCTGATCACTAAAGACATTTTTGTACAAATAACCTTTCATACCCTGAGTTACATGAATGTGACCACATTTAAAGAAATAACAATCTGGTTCTTGCGAGAAAGTCTGCGAGTTGATTGTACAACACAACACTGATATCAAAAACATTGAGTAAAGATGTGGCTTTGTATTGAGTCTCTTGTTCAGGCGGTTGACTGGGGTTTTCGGAGAATGGCGTCGGCGTGGGGAGATATTTTAGATGGCGACAATGATCAAGACATGGATTTTCAGGAAGTAAGATACAATAAAAGGAAAAAGAAGAGCAGCATGGGTGATGGATCTGATTGTGAGCAAACAATAAAGTAAGAACTGAAGCTGATAAAGAGGTTGAAGAAAGAAAAATCAAAGTGATAATTACTTTTACTAAGCAGTCAGAACAACAAAACTCATCCTGTTAAACTGTCAAAAGCAATCGAGAAAGAGATAGGGATAGTGAAAGCTGTATCTTGTCTTAGCAATGGAAGAATAATTATTAAATGCAAGGATGAAAAACAAAAGCCAAAAATTCTGAAAATGAAAACCCTGGCAGGAGGAAGGATAGCATGCACAGAAATAGGCAATAAAGTTCGAGGGGTTATTTCAGGAGTACCACTTAATGTAAATATGGATGAAATTAAAGGGAGTCTGAGTGGAGGCACAGTGATCCCTGCTAGAAGATTGCAGATGTGGAAAGACAATAAAAGATGTGAAAGCATGAGCGTAATGATTCAGTTTGAAGGAAGTACTCTGCCGATGAGAGTGAAGCTAGGATTTGTAAGCTTCTTGGTACGAGACGTAAATCCTGAGAGGAATGAATCAGATCTACATATTATGATGAATAAAATGGACTTTGTGGCATTCATTTGTGCGGTGGTAAATGGCACTTCACAAGTCGAAAGGAAATCGGACAAGTTAAAGATTATCGTAGAATGAGCTAACAAATTTCTCAAGTTAACAGGAGTTACAGCGGAGGAGGTCCATGGGATTTTGAAAGCAAAGGAAGGAACTGCTGCTTTGGATACGACTAATAATACATAGTTGTATAATGTCTTTTCTACTACTACATTGGAATGCCAGGAGCTTAATAGCAAATGGGCAAGAATTAAAAAAACATATCACAGAAATGGAAAAGGCACCAGACACCATGTGTATTCAGGAGACATGGTTAAATAGCTCCTTGGATTTTAAGATCAATGGATATGTAGTAGAGAGGAAAGATAGAGAAACTGGAAAAGGTGGAGGGTGTGCAACATTTATTAAAGAAGGCATAGCATATAAGAGAATATACAAAAGTAATAATGTAGAATGTGTAAGTATAGAAGTAATGGGAAATACATGAAGAAATTAGAATTAAAAATTTTTTATAATCCATGCAAAGAAATAAGTAATACTGTATTAGAAGAAGTGATGGGTGATACACGGAGTAAAATTATTATATGTGGGGATTTTAATGCACATAATGGTTTATGGGGTAGTAAAAATACAGACAATAATAGGATAGTTATAGAAGAATTTATAGAAGAGTACTTGCTTGTATGTTTGAATGATGGGAAACCAACAAGAATGGATATAATTAAAGGTGGCATGTCATGTTTAGATCTCACAATAACATCAGCTGTCTTAGCCGGTAAGTGTACTTGAAGTGTACATGAAGATCATTGGCCTGTAGTTTGTGAGATTCAGAGTGCAGTCCAAAGGCAAAACTTTAATCAGTGTGCAAGATGGGGATTTAAGCAGGCAAAATGGAAAGAATTTTATGTGTTGAGTGCAGAAAATTTAAAAAATATGAAGTTGGAAGGGAATATTGAAGAGAAATATAATAAGGTAGTAGGAGAAATAATTTCTGCAGCAAACCAATCTATACCGTTAATAAGAGGTAATGGAAAGAAAAAGAAAAGTGTACTGTGTGAGAATGATTAGGAAAATGAATGGTATTAATAATTATAAACAGATCCCTGTAATTGAAGAGGAAGGGAAAATAGCCAGAACGAATAAAGAAAAGACATAAGTCTTAGCCAAAACGTTTGTTGAAGTTCATAGTAATGAAAACTTGAATGATAAGTTCTTAAAAAGAAGACAAGAGTTAAGTAAAATATATGAGAATGTTCGTATGAAAAAACAAGGAGTTGATAGTAATATGGATTAGGATTTTTACTTCTTTTGAGTTAAAAATAGCTATTAACAATTCAAAGAATACAACGCCAGGGAGAGACATGATCAGTTACAGTATGTTAAAAAATTTAAGTTAAAGGAATACAAGAATCAATAAATGAAGTTGAAAGGTGGTCAGTAGATTGGGGGTTGAAGTTTTCAGTATCAAAGACTCAATGTATGGTTTTTACAAAGAAAAAGAAAAAGGAACAAATGACTGAAATGATATGAACAATTGTTAGAAATAGTGACAGAGTTCAAATCTTGGATTAATCTTTGATGAAAAATTAAATTGGAAGAGACATATTAAGAAAATTTAAAACAAATGCAAAGGAGTAATACATTGCTGAATAAATAAATTGACTTCAATAGCTAATATGAATGGGGAGCAAGGAAAAGTGCACTGTTACATGTATATCAAGCCTTAATACGGTCTAGTATAGACTATCGTTGTGCAGTGTATGGTGTTGCAGCAAAATCAGAATTAAAGAAACTGGACAACATACAGTCCAGAGCACTTAGAATCTGCTGTGGAGCAATAAGGTCAACCCCTCTAGATGCCATCAGGGTCGAAATGGGGGAGATGCCATTAGATTTAATAAGAGAAATGCTTGCGATGATGTATTGGGTTAATTTACAGGGTAATAAGAATCATCGTACACGCACAATTTTAAATGATTGTTGGGAATATAAAAAAAATGGAGGGAATAGTTTTGGTTGGAAGTATGAACAGTGGGTCAAGGATTGTGGTCTGGAGAATGAGGAAATCTTTCCCAACATGCCATTAAATGGGGTATCGGTATGGAATATTCCTGAACCCATTGTTGAAATGAGATTGTTGGAGGCCCGGGAAAAAGCAGAAGAAAGATATACTAATAGTTATGAAATCAATGTTTTTATGAGAGAACATTGTTATTCTTTTATACAGATCTATACAGATGGGTCTAAAGACCCAATCAAACAAAAATTGGGCATAGGAGTGTACATTCCAAGATTTAAGACGAAAATAAGTTTAAGGTTAAGTGACAAATTGTCTGTATATTCTACAGAATTAACTGCTATAATAGTAGGATTGCAGTGGGTAGAACAGATTAAGCCAAATAGGACTCCGACTGTAATTTGCTCAGATTCTTCATCGGCTCTTAAAAGTATATTGTCGACAAAAACTGATAGAGAAGACCTGCTAGTAGAAATTTATACATTACTGTACAGACTGAAAATAGAGGGTCACTCTTAAAAATAAAGGTGCTTCACGATGCCATAGAAGAACCTTTTTGTCTAAATGGTTCCATGAAGAACCTTTAACATCTGAAGAACCTTTCTGTTTCACAAAAGGTTCTTTGGGGCGAAAGAAGGTTCTTCAGATTATAAAAAGGTAAGAAAGAGATGGTTCTTTAAAGAACCTTTGACTGAATGGTTCTTTGTGGAACCAAAAATGGTTCTTATATGGAATCGCTTGAAGAACCTTTTGAAGCACCTTTATTTTTAAGAGTGTATAGTCGTATACTTTTTTTGGGTACCGGCACATATTGGGATAGTAGGAAATGAAACAGCGGATAAGTTAGCAAAAGAAGCATTAAAGAAAAACTTGGTGGATGTTAAGGTACCTCTGAGAAGAAATTAGATAAAATCAGTAATTAATAGGGAAATAATAAGAACATGGCAACAAAGATGGGAAAATAGCAGCACAGGTGGTATTATAATATTGTAAAATCAGTAGGGAAAAAATACGTTTTATGGAAGACACAGAAAGGAAGAAGTAATGATTTCTAGATTAAGGATGGGTCACACAGGACTAAATTCAACACTTGCATTAATGGGGAAGCATGAAAATGGTACGTGGGATGAATGTGATGTTTTTGAAACAGTAAAGCATGTGCTCTTTAAATGTTGTGAATATGAAGATCAGCGTAACAGTCTTTTTAGCAATATAAGGAACAGACCAGTGAGTGTCATGGACCTTCTGGGAAAGGGTTTGAGTGAAAGTCAGATGTTTAAGGTGGTTTTAACATTTTTAGAGCTCACAGGATTAGACCACAGGATTTAGTGTTTGAGGATGAGGATCATGATGCTTCTGCCCATCTCGGAGGTCGAGGAGCACAGTGTGGAAGCTGGAGGAGCTGAACACGCTACGCCAGATAAAGCTTGGGCTCTGATCCTCTGGGGTGGGTGGGGCATTGCAATTATTATTTTTTTTTCAGTAGGCCTACAGATTCATCACCCATGTGCGCAAGATATACAGTAGGTTGCGGTTAAACGGCCATTGCACAAAAAGAAGAAGAAGAAGAGTCCATGCTATCTGGTCCATGCGAACAAAAGGTGGCGGTACTGAACGTTGTAGGCTTGTGAACCGCCGTTAAATAAAACGAAGAGGAAGAAGACAATCAGCGGTGGTGGTGCACACACTGTGGACAAGATGGTTGCCTCTATGTGGCGGATCACTGGGCCAGTGAATCGAGCTCTTATTAAAGCTGGATACGTACGTATTGCATGGCTTTGGAATTTTATACCGGCGTTAGGAATTTCAAACATTACATTTAAATACAAGAAGCAGTTACCAGTCGATCTCTGTAGTCACAGTGACTGCCGGGGTACTAGCTGATACTAGGTCAGATACACTAAAGGTTAGATGTCTTTCCCGGGTGTAAGTTTTGAGGATCAAGAGACGAGTTATAAACAGTTCTGTAAGCAAGTCACTGTGTAACTCTAGAAATTTAAATATTGCACTTATATGTTTCTTATTCATTATGTTAAGGTTAAGTTAACCTGAAATTTGATCTGACAAGGTCATGGAAATCTGACGTCAGTCACCCGGAGATATATAGATTTTTATAAAAATGCAAATTTATTTTAATGAGAAAAAGCTAATTGAATATTTACTAGCTTTGCCATGGTATCTCTGTTTGAATTTTTAACTTCTGATTTAGAAGCTGTTTGTAAAAGAGTTAGTCTTTAATTTTTTTTTTTAAGTATAGTGTAAACTTAAAGGGATAGTTCACTAAAAGATGACAATTATGTCATTTTACCCACCCTTCGCTTGTTCCAAACCTGTATGAGTTTATTTCTTCTGTTGGGCACAAAAGAAGATATTTTGAAGAATATTAGTAACCAAACAGTTGCTGGTAGCAATTGACTTGCATAGTATTTTTTCCATACTATGGAAGTACATGGCTACTGGTAACTGCTTGTTTCCAGTTTTTTTTTATAAAGTTTTTTTATGCACTTCCCTCACTAATGTCCCTCCATCTTGTTGACTTTGGATGTATGCCATTGCTTACATTGTATGAGTGCTCACTACCGCTGGAACCTTTGCAGTGGGTTGAATTGTAACGTCATAAGCCCTTGATCACTTGGAACCTGCTATGGAGCTGATTTATTATTTATATTTACATTACCATTATATATGTCTATAGGTATGATTGGGCTGTATCAGTACAATAAGTATGTCACAATCATGTTGCATTGTGGTATGTAGAGCTACCTCAAGTGTATATATGAATAGACTTCCTCTTTCAAAACTGAGGAGTCGAGGGTCTGTCCAAATGGAATGCACATCAAAATGGCAGCAGGGATTCCCCCTAGAGGAAGTGCTTAGGGAAGTTCACGAGTGTGTCTAAAAGTGGAACGCACCCCGAGTGTTCACATAGTGGGAATTGTAAGGTCAGGTTGTGATGACATTTGCAATAATTATTGAGTTCTAGGACTTCATATGAGCACATGATGTAAAATGCTGAATTTGTTTATTGTTGGAAAGAAAAACATGAATATTGTTGATTGGAATTGGTTGTAGTGTGAAAGCAATTTAAAAACTTTAATGCTGTTTCACTAATTTGAACGCTGTTCTTTCTATTCCAAACCTTTCTTGGATCAAGGGCACAAAGAAGCACCCACAGTCTGCTCTTGAACAGGCAGTGGAGTCTATGGGAGCTCACCTGAGTGCATACACCTCTCGGGAACATACTGCTTACTACATGAAGACCCTTGCCAAGGACTTGCCTAAAGGTTAGAGAACGAACAAATAAACTATTAAAGTGCCTCTATTATGCCATTTCAAATATTTCCTTTCATACAGTGTGTAATGTAGCTTTATGTGAATGCAAATGATCTGCAAAGTTGTAAAGCCGAAAGTGCCATTATATAGAAAAAAGTTATTGTCTCCCAAAATAAAGAATTGAGTCTGTACAGCCTTAACGAGTCGTTAAAAATTCGAATCCCGCTTCCGTAATGACTACGTGTCATGGGGTTAACACATTTGCATAATTCCCGACAACTTGAGCCGCCCTCAAACACGTCATTTTACTGACAACTGCTCGTCTAATCACGGGGAGTTCAATGCAGGATTCACAAAACGCTTGCTCTTGAAAGATGACTCAGTACCTAATTTATTTGGAACAGCTGGCTCCACTGAATCACAACCTGTATGATAAATAATAGATGTTTATATTGTCAATTCAAAACATGGATCATTTTCGACACGCGCTGTACGCCGTAGACCAATCACAACGGACTGAGCCATCTGACCAATCAGTGCAGAGTAAGCTCACGGAAAGGAGGGGTTTAGAGAGCCTGAATCTTTGAACTGCTTTGAACAAATTGTTTGAGAATCGCAGGAAAATGTGGTGATATTAAATGCATATTTTGAGAAAATTAAAGTTTTTTTTTAATTTTATTTTTTTACCTTGATTGCTTTTAAACCTATTGTAGGATACTCCCAAAACAATCTTAGGAACTTAAAAAATGGCATAATAGGGACACTTTAAAATAGGCCAATTTCTTCATGCTAATGTGGATAGATAAATGGATAGATTGATCTAGATGAGCTCTAGAATGGAGTATGTCATGTTGGCATAGATCATGTAGTCACTCTCTGAATAATCTGTAAGTGTTACTCTTTCTTTTTAATGTCATCTCTTTATTGTGTTCCTTTTAGCGGTGGAGCTCTTGGCAGAAGTAGTGCAGAGCTCATCTTTGAGTGAGGCTGATATAGAGCTGCAGAGGAGTGTGGTGCTAAGAGAGCTGGAAGAGGTGCAAGGTAGCTTGCAGGATGTTTGCCTGGATGTGCTCCATGCTACTGCCTTCCAGGGTACTCCTCTGGGCCATAGTGTTATTGGTCCCTCTGCCAATGCCAGGTACACACACAGCCTCAAAATAATTTATTTCATATGTTACATATGCTTGCACTGTAGATATGCTGACGTTTTGTTCGGAATACATAAATGCACATGTAAATGAAAATGTGAATTGCATTGCAAAGTTTAGGGTTCATATAAACAGAACTTTCGAAATCTGAACTTGGATTGGATTCGTTCTCATTGATGAAAATTAGTGATGAAATATGTTCCTAAAAAATCTTATGGAATTTTTTTTTTTGGCTCTTTGTATTTTCAAGGACACTAACTCGTAATGATTTAGTGGAATACATCAATAGCCATTATAAAGCTCCTCGCATGGTCCTGGCTACAGCTGGAGGTACTGCTCTTAAACCGTTATCAAACTTGTCATACAGCAGTGTTTTAATAGAAAACCCACACAAAGCTGAGTTGATTGATTAAACACTCTCTCTGTTCTGCTGCAGGAGTAAACCATGATGAGCTTGTAGGTCTGGCTAAGCAGCATTTCAGTGGCGTTTCTTTTGAATATGAAGGTGATGCTGTACCTGTTCTGTCCCCATGCCGTTTCACTGGGAGTGAGGTAGCTTATAAATTGCATGTGTGCATGAGAGGGTCTCAGTTTCTTGCCGGATGGATTGATTGACTTTCTGTTGGTCTGATCCTGTCTTGCTTTCAGATTCGTATGCGTGATGATGCAATGCCCCTAGCACACATTGCTATTGCTGTAGAGGGAGCTGGAGTTGCAAGCCCTGATATTGTGCCACTTATGGTTGCCAATTCCATCATTGGTAGCTATGACATCACATTTGGTGGTGGCAAGGTTAGTTTATAACTTAGCTTAAATTTTCATTTCCTAAACATTTGTTTAGCGTGTTCAGGGATTCTCAATGTTTCTTGAAATCTTTCACAAGTTAAGATGGCTCCTGGAAAATTCAGTTTAAGGATTTCACCTAAAAGCTGTTATAAAATGCACAATAAGCTTTGTGCTTTGCTCCATATCTTGAAAGTAGAAATGGAATAAGCAGGATATTATAATCAAGTATGAGAATTCATTCTGTTTTAATGAAAGCAGCACAGAGCAAGCTTAAATGTTGTCATTGTTAATCAGTCTCTTGATTTTTTCACCCACCGATTAGGCTTGCTGTGATATACGGTGTTTTCGGTTATACCGGTGTTAAGCTGCAACACCGGTTGCGTCATTTGCCTACCGCGGCACCGCCCCCCACCGTCGTTTAGATTTTTTTATAGTAACAAAAATCATTTAGCCTAGTTCAGTAAGAGGACAGACACTTTTAAAAACTAAATGCTCAATGCAGCGTGCCGAACCGCGCAAATGACACACACGGAGCAGGAGTCAGATTTTATTTATCACGTGAGGAGAGTGAGTCGAGCTGACTGACAAGAGTGAGGTGAGAAAGACAAGACGATGGCAGAAGATTGTTTAGAAAGGAAATACAAAGGTGCCTGTTTGGCAATATTTTTGATTTTGAAAAGTATATTAACTGGAAGTTTTTTTTAAACATTCGTTTCTTATTTATTTGTTTCCACAGTGTTTGCTGATTACTTTATTTAAACTTTGTGTATTTTATTTATTTTATTTTACATCAAGGTGTATATGCCGTGCCTCCAAGCTTTCTTATTCGTTTTGCTAATAAACGTTCTATGTTTCTTATTTATTTGGTTCAACAGTGTTTGCTGATTTTCAGTTTTATATACCTATTTAAACTGTGTAGCCTAAGTAATTTGTTATTTTATTAGGCATATATGGTGTATTTTTATTCGTTTTGTTAACAAAAGTTCTGAGTTTGACGTTGTCGCTTGAATTGAATCAACGCCGAATTGCTGTTAATTTGAAAGTGAAAGGAAAACGCGCACGGCGCTTTTTCAAGCTATTTAAAAGCAAAGAAATCTGAGGAAAAGAGGGAAAACTCAAATGAACTAACACCCCCCACCCCAGCGGTGATACCGGTATTACCGGTGTTGTCACACGTCGATTAACCGGTGGGGAAATTTCCTCACCGTCACAACCCTACCACCGATATGATCGGCATGTGATTGTTCCACAATTGTGATTCATATGTTAATGTTTATTCCATTTAAATATTAAAGGGGTCCTATTATGCTTTTTCACTTTTTCAGCTTTAGTTAGTCTGTAATGTGCTGTTTGAGCATAAAAAATATCTGCAAAGTTACAAAGTTCAAAGTCCACTTCAAAAGGAGATATTTTATTTAAAGGGGTCCTATAATGCTCTTTTACAAAGTCTTGAATTTCTTTTGGGGGTGTACTAGAACATGCTCTCATGCTTGGTGGTTCGAAAAACGCATTATTTTTCACATAATTTACATTATTAAAATACGTTTCTCCCCAGGCTGGCACAAACGGCTCGATTAGTTCCTGTTTTGATGAAGGTCCACCTTCTGAAAAACAAAATGTGTTGTGATTGGTTAGCTGTCCCAGTGCGTTGTGATTGGCGAACAGCTTAGACGGTGTTTCATTACTGCCACGCCCCTTGCTCCGTCTTTCAACAAAAACTTTTGGGCGAATCCGGCACTTTACTCCCTGGTGTTGTGAAAGCTGTCCTCAGTCAAATGCCCAGCACACAATAGCAAATTGGGGTTATAATGCTCAGGAACAGAGTTAAAAAATAAATTACAACCACTGTTTCCTGACATCATCCGCTTTCGGAAGCCCAAACAAAGACGTTTGGGCACGGAGGTGAAAAAAAGTGTTTCAGGTGGTCGCGCACCGGACGAGAAGTGCAGCGTCGTGCCACGTCTTTAAAATTCAAATACTATATTTTCTATGAGTGTAGGCACACCGGTGGCCCCTTTCGGCGTATGTCCCAGCTATGTCGTGTTGTACTTGTAAGAATTGTTCTAGACATGTCGAAAAT